GTATGTATGTATGTATTTATGTATGTATTTATGTGAGTGTCTTTGTGGGAATATGCTCATGTCTGCATACAATTGTCTGAAGAGGACAGAAGAAGGCACTGAATTCTCTGATACTGGGGTTATAAATTGTTGTGAGCCTCTTCATATGGGTGCTGGGAAATGAACTCAGCAAACCACACACAAGCTCTTAATCACTGTTTTATGTCTCCAACCCCCTTTTTTAATTTAGTTTTTTGTTTTGACACTGATTTCTTTACTTTTGACATACTGCCTCATATTGCCCTTGGCATCATTATGTAACCAGTGATGATCATCAATTTTTGATCCTCTTATTTCTACCTCCCAATGATGGGATTGCAGGCATCTTCACCACACCCAGTTTGTGCAGTTATGGGGCACAAGCCTAGTGTTTTCTGTATGCTGGGTCAGCATGCTATAATGAGCTTAATTCCAAAGCAGACAGTTCTTATTATTTTTTTATAATAACTAGAACTTTCTGAAAACAAAATTCTATAAACTCATTAATCTTTTAAGGTCCTCAGCATCCTTTCATGATGATTTCTTTTTTAATCCCACAATAACACTGGATAGGTAGGCAGATATTTTTATCTCTTTCTTTCAAGTTATAAAATTGAGGTACAAAGAGGTCAAACTCAGAGAAAATGAGCATGGAAGCCAAGGTCTCCTAATTTCCAATGCTGGGTACCTTGCATTAATATAGGGATGATTCTCTGTGAGTTTCCATTGAGAATGGCATTGGTGGTTTCAGAACAAAAGATTTCTAATATATTTGTCTATTGAATCAAACTGTGCAACCAGCATCATGTAAAGTAATGTAGATATGAGAATATAGAAGACATTTGTAGAGCTGCAGAGTATGAAAGGTTGATCCAGAGAAGAAGAAACAAGTCCAGGCTGGCTTCTAGGCTTACAATCAGAAATGTATAGAACAGCCACCTCATAAATGTGTGACTTTGAATAAAGGACAAAAGTACTCAAATAACTGTAAGAATTTTTTGTGTTGAATGTTTGCCTCATTGCTTGCCATATGCTATGGGTTTGTATAAAAATTTCACTTTCTAACATTTAGGAAGGCAGGCTCCTTGCTTTAATCTGTGAACTGCAAAATTAGTCTTTGGCACCTGCTTTACACAGATCTTAAGTGGTGACTGAAGAAATGTAGCATAAACAGATATACAATGGAGATGTTGAAAACGAATGAAATTAGATTCTGTCATGCGTATGTGTTACATAAATACTGTAGATAATGATTTAAAACAAAGAGCAGGATAGAAGGAAATTGAGTTTTTATGACTTGTCAAACACAAATTAAATAATTTCTAAGTTTTACTTTGTTCTGAAATATTGCAAAAGAACAGGAAAATATCTATTTTATTTCTACCTTTCTCTTTTCTCACTAGAACAAACACCGAAGATTCCAAACTATTGTGGAAATTATAGATCATGGCCATAGAAGGGCACATTTTCATCAAATTGTGTTCACAGGTAAGACATTGACTTGTTCCCTCCTCTCATTGACTCTGGGTAATCAGGAAGCAGGTGAGCATTGCTTCTTTAGGGTAGTTCAGGCTTCTGGCTTTTATCTCCTGTTTACTCAGGACAGTGCTAGTTAGCTGCCCCTGGGTCTTTCCCTAGAAAAATCTTTTTTTCCTGGTCTAATTTATAGATTGAATGTGGACCCAGGACCAAGCAAACTACACAAATCAGTGATAAGACTGAAGAAAGTCACATGCCTCCCTTAGGGCTTAAATTTAAATTCTGCTTATACCCAAATTACTAAAGAGCTTTCCATCAAGAATTGTCTATGAGGCATGAGGAAATCTTTCCTTACGTGCATCCCTGTTGATGGGGAAAGTCCTTCTATGTATATATTTGTCTTATTGGTTAATAAATAAAGTACTGTTCAGCCAATGAGGCAGCAATTTAGGCTGGAGTAGGAGTCAAGGAGGATTCTGGGAAATGTAGTAAAGTCTTGTGATCCAGGCAGGAAGTGGCATAGAAGGCAGACTCAGAATATAAGCAGGGACGAGTAGGAAGTTGTTCTCTTCCTTTTCCTCCTGCTCTCTGGAGTCGCCATGTGACCTCCAGGAAGACAGGACACATTCTGCCGGCGTCCCCAATAAGGTAAGTTTATTAAATATATAGATTAATAGTTATGGGTGATACTTAAGACAGAGCTAGCAAATAAGAAATCTTAGTCATTGGTCAGAAACATTGTACCTAATATAAGTCTCTGTGTGTTACTTGGGACCTTAATGTGGCGGGAGGGGGGGGAGCATGGAACTCAGGCAGCTGATGGAAAGACTTATCATTACACCCTGCTTTCCATTTTCTGTTTTCTCTTGACAGTTGGTAAAGCTCTGGGAAAATCTAGAGGAAGAATAGCTATGAGTGCCTATGTATGTGTCTCTGTGTGTGCCTTGTGTGTCTGTGTATGTGCCTCTGTGTGTTCATGTGTACCTGTGTGTGAACTCCTGTGCCCGTGCTTGTGTGTGTATATGTTTGTTTCTGTGTGTCTTTTTGTGTATATTTGTGGCTGTCTGAGTGATCATGTATGCTTTTGTGTGAACATTTCTGTCTATTCAGTTATGTGTGGCATGTGTTTGAGTTTCTATGTCTGTATTTAACTATGCTAATTTATGTGTTCATGTGCCTGTGTGTTTACACATGCCTGTGTATGCTTGTGTGTGTATATAAGAGAGAGAGAGAGAGAGAGAGAGAGAGAGAGAGAGTGTGTGTGTGTGTGTGTGTGTGTGTGTGTGTGTGTGTGCTAAGAGGTGAAAGCTGTCGGGCCTTACTGAGGCACCCTAGACAACCTAATTTTGACATTACAGTTCTGACACTGTCTATCACAATTTGTGTTTCTGTTCTTTGTGATAGCAATGGAATTTATGCACAAGCCAAGACCATACTTGGAGAGTATATTTTAAAAAAAGGCCTCTAGTTATGAAAAACATGTAAAATGAATGTATGGAAAAGCAGATAAGTTTTAGTGAGAAGCCCAGGTCCTTCTCTTTGGTTACAGGTCTGCCCAAGGTGCTAAAAGGTGCTAAAAAACTAACACAACTCCACAGGAACAATAAGAAAAAAGTAATTGTCTATAGCATTGTGAATTTTCATCAAGTCACAAGACAAACAAACCTAATGAGAAGAAAATCTTGAGTAGAGACAGAGCACAGAATCTGCCTCAAATTTGGGAGTGCACAGAAACAGATGGCTGTTATCTCCACAAGCAAGAAGTTAGCTACTTGAACAATGATTTATTTCTTAGATTGAAACTACTTACAACAACCTACAGTGGACTTGTCACTTCATGGACCCTGAATGTAAAAAGTACACCAAAATTCAAACTTCTGAATGTCTATTTTACACCCTTAGGCACTATGATGGAATCAGAAGGCTAACAAAAGTAACAAATTCCAGATAGCCTTTGTCCTAATCTCATCTTTTTCATTTCCCCTTCTTAGGAGGATCTATTCTAAATCTCACAGTGAATCAGCTCTAGGTTGGCCATTTTGCCTAGGATTGCCTGAATAGGGAAAAGAAAAAGGAGAGCAGAATTTAGCAAGGCAAGACAGTTATTTTCTTCTAAGTCAAAAAAGCATAACCTGTCTGTTAAACATCCAATGGCTCATCAGGAATTATAATTATCTTTCATTTAACTGCCCCTGTGATGTGAAATGGGGAGTTTCACACATACACAGTAAAGGTCATTACCAAAAATTTTGATAATGAACATATATGAAGTTGATGCCTCTCTAAGTACATGCTACCATGGACTCTCCTGATCTCCTGATTCTTTTTTTTTTTTTTTTGAGAGATAATGACAATAGCAATGTAAAACTTAAACTTATTGTGTTAGGTTTCAAGTCATTTTGAACTGAGGGTCTTCAGGCCTACTGGGCAACAAGGTGCCCACTGAAACCCATGTTGGTAAAACCCAGAAAAATTTAAAATGGTGAATATGGTATTAACCATGAAATGATCACCAAAGAACCTCCTGGAATCAGGCATTATCAACTTTTGCATTTATTTATAATTGTGTGTATACATATTTGTGGATAAATTTGTGTCATGTTTCATGTGTGGAGGCGTAAGGACAACTTGCAAGAGTTGGTTCTGTTCTTCTGCTAAGTGGATCCCAAAAGGGGATGGAGCTCAAGCCCCTTCATGTGCTGAGCCACCTGAAGTCTCTTATGTTTAAATTTAACATACATTTAGCAAACCTTGCTAGTTTGAATATGTACTACAGCATCTCTGATTTACATCCTAGTTGGATATCTGTAAGTAGGCTTCCTGGTTTTTCATGTCTCAGCTTTCTCATCTTCAGCTCCTGGATACCAATTATATTTAATTTTATAACTATTTTGTTTAGTGTGTGTGTGTGTGTGTGTGTGTGTGTGTGTGTGTGTGTGTGTGTGAAAGCAGTGCTTCTAGAGTTCAGAATGTGGTATGTATGGGGTGGTATATGACTGTGGAACCCTTTTCAATAATATCTGAATCATAAAGTTAATTTAAGCATGTGTCCTGGACAATGACCCAGAAATTGATGGTAACTTCATGCTACTTGAATATGTCAAAACGGTGCTTCAGAATAAATTATCTGCTACCAGAGTGGCCACTGATAAATAATGATCACAGGCTCATATAACAATTTGGTGCTTTTTGTTACTTTTTCTTAACATGAGAAACAATAAACCCAAGAATGGGATATGATTCACAAACAAGTTTTAAAGTGTTGCATAAACTGAAAATGATATAATATGAATCATGTCTTGGAATATAATATGTAACCCATCAGACACACTATGGCAAAGATGATGAGTTTATCCAAACAGTTCTCTTGTTTTCCTTAATATGTTATATGTAGTTGTGCATGGCAATCACAGAACTGAGTTCTTGGGAAACAACCACATAGTAATTGGACACTTTACTTTTCTCACTTGAAGAGAAGAAATATTAAATCTCAAAGTACTTACGGCTGCTTGACGATGAGTATTGGACAGGATCCCATGAATCTTCACTTTGTCTTTCTCCATTTGGTCTATGTTCACCCACAGATCTCGGCTGGCAGAATCCGTTGGGCCATATATCCGAGATATGTAGTAATTGTGATCTGTGTCCTCCTGCATTGGTGAAAAATTATGAACATTAAGAACTGTAATGTTTCCACTAATTTTATTTAAGAGTTCTTCTGTAATTAAATATATCAGTGATCTTCAATCTAGCAAATTGTTTAAGTAGACTCTTAAAGAAATGAATTGAAATGAAAAATGTAAAACAAGTCATCCTCTTTAGAAGAAAAAGTTAAATACAAAAAACTTATAATCAAATTCATATTCTGTGCACCATACATTTCTTTTTAGTCATACTAATAGTAGACACTTAACTGCTAACAAGACAAAATTAGAAATATTTACTGAAGATAAGAACTATAATTACACTGAGTGACAACAAAATTAATTCTTTAAAAAATTATGTTTGGGGCTGAATTTAGTTAATGGTTCTAGAAATTCAAATAATTGCTTAATTTCTGTTATTAAAACCTACTTTTATTTGAATTCTCAATATGTGTCTTATACAGTGCTTTGCACAGAGATTTTCTTTTTCATGTTTCCAACTGAATGGGGAAAATAAATGTTTTAAAATCATATGACACTTGGATAATAATGATCATATACATGCAGTGATGCCTATGGGGGGGTCTTAGGATAGTTCCTCCATGGTAAACTTTGCCAGGCAAATACTACAATCTCTGTTTGGGTCTCAATTACCCAATAGAAAGTCAGACATGTCACACACATCATTTTAAAAGATACTTAATTTCATGCATTAATATGCACTTTTTTCTGTTTTTTTTTTTTTTTTCTGATGTGTTGGTCTGTACACATTCAATGCTGGGACCTTTGGAGGCCAGAAGAAGGCACTTGATACCCCTGTAGCAAGAATTACAGGCATTTGTGACTTATCTAACCAGAGTGTTTCGAACCCAACTTGGGTCCCCTGGAAGAACCACTGAGCCATCCTTCCAGACAAAAGGAGATGTGCTTTTTCATTCAGCATTATGAAGGGGTTGGGAACAGGCAGATCACTGGAGTTCACTGGCCATCCAGGCAACCTGTCAGTGATCTCCACATTCAGTGGGCAACTCTGAATCAAAAAATAAATAAAAAACAAAAAAGCAAACAAAAAACAAACAAAAGGCCCCACAAAAAGAAAACAAAATAAAAAAGCTGTTGAACTATAGAGAAAGACACCCAGCATTGACCTCTGGCGTCTGTATGTATCTATACATATATGTGCATCCAGTGTCCTGAAATGTACATATGCCCCATGGATATGTATGACTACATGCAAACACACACAAACAAATGAAATGGGGCTTACCAATTTGAGGTGTAAATTGAACCCATTTTAAGACATTGAGTTAAATATGAGAAAAAAGTATAGAGAGAAGATTGCCTACGATTTGGGCAATAAAGTTTCAGGAGTGAATTCTGTCTAATATAATTATTATCATAGAGTTACTGGGGTAAAACTGAAGTATCAAGCCACTGAGTCAAAATCAGAATCCCACATATGTCTTTAGATATCACCAGGTTAATGTGTACAGCAACTGATTATTGAAAGTAAAAGAATGCTCAGTAATCAAAGGGATTTTGCATCATTCCTCAAAGAAATAATACAATTCATCATGCAAATGCCAAGGGTGATGAATGCTAACCAGAAATTGAGTTTTTGCTTTAATAAAATTTATAAGTAAAATTCTAGTTAGATTTTGAGTGCAAGAAACTTGTGCAGAGAAAGAAGAAAAGAGGAGACTCAAAAGACATGAGAATGAGATGCCCTGAATCTGGGAGGATCCTCATAACAAAACACGTGAGGACCAAAAGCATTGTGTTGGCTTCCCAGTATCTGCTCAATCCCCCTCTGTGTTGCTCTCCCACTTCTTCACTAGATGGAGAATGAGTCATACTGTTCTCGCAGCACAAAATTCAGTGGGCATATGTGAATATCAGTGGGCCTATGGTCCACCATTGGCAAGGTATTTAGGAGTTCAGAGGATGTAAGTTCCCTTATTCTTGCTCAGATGTCTACATGTGAGAATAGATACAGCTGCCACTTTAGCATCATGGGGGGACTGCTGTAAATAAAGGTAACACACAGAAAGAAGGACAAAATGGCAAACTCTAAAGAAAAAGCCATCTTTCCAGTTATGTGATTATCTGCATGAACTTGTTCAACTTCTTTTATCATATGTCATCTTAGTAGAGGAATCCTGATTTTTAAAACATGTGTCTTATCCATAATAAAAATTATGCAAGAGTGAATAAGTTGTTTTACAAGCCTTTAGGTCTTGGAAACAAAGACATTCCCAATTTCTGAAGTCACAGAAATGGAGTCTTGTATAACTTGCAAAAGGCATCTGGTTGGAAGAGCAAATGATGATAACTTATTTAGTTTTATTGAATATTATAAAAGATGGTTTTGGAGTAAAAGCTCAATTTTGGTTTGTTACTAGTTTATTATAAACTGTAATAAATTCAGTAACACTAAGGTCCACAATACAATCTTTAGGCATACTGTGTAACTGGTTCTACGATGTGGTGAAATTCACATAGAATTAATAATGCATAAAATTTCATCATTTAAGAGTGGAGTTCAACAAAAATATAGAAGTAAACAGCAAAAGAACTGGTTTTCTCCTTAATCTCTGTAATATTTAAGCAAATAATTTGTAGTTATCATGATGTATAACAATATAACAATATAATTAATTATCTCAAAATTATGCACCATTTGGGCTGCAATATGTATTACCAATAGAGCTAAGTGAAACGATGCCTTTAATTTTCAGCTAAGTCAGAATTTTTCAAAACAATACCAGGTCTTGAAAATACTGAAGTTAAGCTAAAGACTTGGTACTGACTTCTATAGCTCAAGCTTGCCAAGTTGTCATGGCAACTTTTATTCAAAGATGAAAGCAATTTATTGTTTACCTAGGAAAATAGACACACAAATTGTTAAATCCCAGAGAGGCATTTGTCTCAGATACTCAGGAAAGCCATAAAATAGATGTCTCAAAAATGTGAAATTTTAGCACCAATAAATTATTCAACTACTTTTTGTCATTTTTAGGCATAATGATACTTAAAGAGTCATTGGAAGGCACTCTGGGCACAGAGATTTTTATTTTCTCCTCTAAAGCAAAACTTACTTCTAATAACAGAGACAATAAAAAAAACACCACTGTGATGTGCCTACTTGCAATTCATTTAGGAAACCAACTGTTTCTGAAAGTATCTGTCTCAGTGGGTGAGTCTAAATGCAATAAACTCAGGTTGTCAAAAACTGCCTGGACATCTGCAGCTGTAGAGCAACATAGGGCATCCTCCAAACCATTCTGAGGACAGGCCACCATAGCTACAGGCATCCTGTAAGAATCAGTCTACACAGCCCAACCTCAGTGTTTTCTGCCATTGCTGCTGAACGATTTGATTACACTCTGTATTTGCAGGTGATGTAAGTTTCTAGATGCAGCAATGACATCTGAATTTCAAGTGTATTTCACTGAGAACTACAAGAAATTGAGAACTTACTGTACAGTCATCCATGTGCTAGTCTTTACACATGTGGAAGTATATTATATTTTAAAAGAATGCTTTTACATGTGTGTTATTATTTATTTAAACATAAAGACATTTTAAGTACCATGTGTGTAAATAATACTTTCTGGATATAAATAGAAAAAAAAAACCTAGTTCTGTGTGATTTATGTGCTACTATAAGAAAATAAGAGGTGTGATAAATAACAAAACCCAAGGAAAGGGGAGAGTGAGAGTACTAAAAGAAAAAAAAAAGAGAAACTTGTGAGAAATGTAAATGCATTCAGACTGTGCTCACATAGTCTTGGGAAACAAACAGCATAAAATAGTAAATCTCAGTGAGAAAGCATGTTTAGGGCAGATACTATGTGATAAACATTGTTGACCCTGCCTCAAAATCCATATATTAAAGATTCAACTCCCAGCGTGCTTATAATTTTCCATAGTGTCTTTATAGTGGTAATTAAGGTTAAACAATGCCATAAGAATGGGACCTTGATAGCTGGGTGGTGGTGGCGCACGCCTTTAATCCCAGCACTCGGGAGGCAGAGACAGGCGGATCTCTGTGATTTCGAGACCAGCCTGGTCTACAAGAGCTAGTTCCAGGACAGCCTCCAAAGCCACAAAGAAACCCTATCTCGGAAAAAAAAAAAAAAAAAAAAAAGAATGGGACGTTGACAAGACAGGTTGATGAACATAAAAGGAGGCATGAATATTTTCTCTCTACTTTCTGACTGCTTCCTTCCACACCTCTTCTCTTCCCCTTTCCATCATGTCTCCTTCCTTAGGAAAAGTCGTCAGAAAATTTGTAACAAAACTGTGTATTCTGTGAATTTTCCTGTGACAATCCCTCCCTTCTTTCCCTTGACACTTTTGCTAGAACCTACTAAATAGCTCAGGCCTTGAATTCATGGCAACCTCCCAAGTGCTAGCATTATGGGTATGAATCACCATACTTGGCTCAAAGAGCAATTGTATAGATATCCAAAAGAGATAAGTCAGGTTATAAAACAGAATAAGAAGACACTAGAAAATCTAAGACCATCATAACATCCCTTGGAAACAAAATCTAAAAAAAATCAGAAAATGAACTTGTGACTCAAATTTTTTCCTCTACCAAGTTATATTTGAAATAAAAGGCAGCATCTTTCTTATACACATAGATACAGAGAAAATTTTCCACCAGTGTGAAATTCTTGAACATTTAATACCTACTATCTTATCAACCAGGCAGTAATTAAGCTGCCCACCATAGTGATTTCAGTGAGCAATTAGCTGTGTGCTGCCCTATGTAGGAGTGCAGAAGCTATGTCAAAAGGTCTGATGATGAGCCTTCCCTGTGACAAGAATACTTCAAAAAAGGTCACATGCAATTATTGCAATTATACGCAGGTATGTAATTTCTTTCCAACGTGAATATGTGGTGATAACATTCAAATTGTTATGTGTTGACTGTGAAATGCCCCCCACAGGCTCCTGTTTTGAATGCTTGTTCTCCAGCTGATGACTCTATTTGAGAA